CGAAGACTCGCAAAAATTCATGGTCCCAATAAAAGTAGGTTCGGTAACCATAAACTTTGAAGTGGACACAGGAAGCCCAGTCACCTTAATTAATCAACATGATTTTAACAAACTTCAATATCCGTCTCCTCTGAAAACCACAAATGTACTTTTTCGAGTTTACACGGAACAAACGTTTGCTCCTTTGGGGGTGATCCAAGTACCAATAGAATACGGCAACACAAAATCAGTCGAAGAATTGTACGTAGTTCCTGCCCCCTATGCAGCAATAGTAGGACGTGTATGGCTTCGACGACTAGGAATTGTAGATATTAAAAATGCACCCACAAATAAAATCTCACATCTTGCAACCTCCAATTCTGAGACACTAAAGAACGAAATCATGCAATCTTTCTATGATGTTTTCGAACAGAAAGTGGGTTGCGTTCCCAACTTTGCTTGCTCGCTCCGTGTCAAAGACAATCATATGGCTCCACTTTTTATGAAATCCAGACAAATTCCCTATGCACTGCAAGAAAAAGTAGAAGCAGAGTTAGATCTGATGGAACAAAATGGGCTCATCGAAAAAACAGACTACTCTGAATGGGGATCACCACTGGTTTGCGTTCCAAAACCAGATGGAAATGTACGCCTCTGTATTGATTACAAAATGACAATCAATCCGCACTTACAAAATGCTCGTTATCCAATCCCTCTTATCGACGACGTCTTAAACAGTCTCCGAGGTAGTGCAATCTTTTGTATTCTCGATATACATAAAGCCTATCAACATCTGCTAGTCGACAAGGAAAGTCAAAAGCTGCAAACAATTTCCACACATCGCGGTACATACAAAATGAAACGTCTCGCGTTTGGAATTAAAACGGCTCCCAACGAATTTCAAAAATTCATTGATACTGCTCTTCAAGGTCTCGAGGGTGTTGTCTCTTATTTTGACGATATAGTTGTGCACGCTAACTCCCTACAAGAATGCTATAATCGACTCGTAAAATGCTTAAATCGTCTCCGCAGTCTCAATTTGCATCTCAATCCTTCAAAGTGCACCTTATTTGCGAAGAAAATTAAATATCTTGGTCACATTGTTAGTGCAGAAGGAATCCAGAAAACTCCAGAAAAGGTGGAGGCAATATTAAACGCCCCACGTCTCAAAAATGTTCAAGAACTCCGTTCATTAATTGGCTGCGTCTCATATTATTCGAAATTTATGCCAAAAATTGCTGGGATAATGCGTCCCTTATATCAATTATTAAGAATCGGGACAACGTTTAAATGGACAGCTCCGTGTGAATCCGCATTTCTGAAAATCAAGCAGGAAATTTCTAGTAACCGAGTACTCATAAAGTATGATCCAAAGTTACCGTTAATCCTCGCAACGGATGCTAGTCCGGTTGGCTTATCAGCAGTTTTGTCACACATATATGAAGGAGAAGAACGACCTATTGCGTTTGCATCGAGGGCACTTACCAAAAGTGAAGAAAATTACTCACAACTAGACAAGGAAGCGACCGCAATATATTGGGGATTTCAAAAATTCTACACATATATATACGGTCGAAAATTTACACTAGTGACTGACAATAAACCTCTAAGCCACATTTTTGGGGCAAGCAACTGTCTCCCAACCATTACAGCTTCACGCCTCATAAGATACTCCATGTTTTTAAGCAGTTTCGATTACACAATTAAGCATCGTAAATCGGAAGACCATGCAAATGCAGATTATCTGTCTAGAGCTCCATTACCAAATCCCAAACCTGAATCTACAGATGAAGATTCTGAAGTTTTTAATATTATCGTGTCTCATTTAATTTCCGACCCTATTACTTTTCGAACTATACAGTTAGAAACTGACAACGATCCAGGACTAAAGGAATTAAAACGGAATTTAAGTCACAATAAAACAGCAACGACAGAATTCAGTCTTCACGATAACGTTATATTCCGAGGTCCTCGGGTAATGATCCCAAACTCACTGCAAAGGTACGTTTTGAATGAATTACATTCAACCCACCAGGGAATTGTGAAGATGAAAGCTCTTGCACGTCGATATTGCTATTGGAAAAAAATCGACCACGACATAGAATGCCTTGTTAAATCCTGTAAAGCTTGCTGTGATGTGAAGCCAAACCCACCAAAAGTACCTCTCCACAAATGGGAACCACCTAAGGAAAATTGGCAACGAATACACATGGACTTTGCTGGTCCCTTTCAAGGAAACTATTTTTTCATTGTCGTTGATGCATACTCGAAATGGCCAGAAATCATCCCGTCGAAGTCAGCGCCGACATCAGCTTCAACGGTGATGATGCTTCAAGAAATCTTCAGTCGTAACGGCTTACCACAAATTTTAGTCTCAGATAACGCAACAATCTTTAAATCAAGGGAATTCAAAGATTTTTGCAACAGGAATGGTATTCAACAACGCTTCATTGCCCCGGGTCATCCAGCTACGAATGGGCAAGCCGAACGATTTGTCCAAATCTTGAAAACAAAGCTAAAAGCTTAAAATGAGATATCCCACCAAGAATTTAATAAACGACTCTATCGTAACAGCCAAATTACGTCTGGGAGAACGAGTACAATCACGAAACTACAGCTCATCTACACTTTGGAAATATGGAACCGTGGTCCAAATATTAGGCAATCTACATTATCTTATTGAACTCGATGATGGGTACGTCATAAAACGCCATATCGACCAATTAAGAAAGACTCAGGTGCCAAGGAACGAGCATGTACCAAATGTTTCTGAACCAAGCGTTTCTCAAGACAAAACGGTCCACATGCAACCAAATACTCAACAAGGAAAAAACCCGGAACCCATTCCTATATTACCATTACCACTACCAGAACCCACTAATTCTGAGTTACAGGCAGACCAACAACAACACCCGCCACTGAGTGTAGGTGAATCTCCCAACCTTCTACCAAACACCAATCAGCCCGATGACCGATCAAGTAGGCCTGTTACTCCGGTCAAGAGTGAATCCACATCTACCGCTGTCCCACCTGAAACTAGACAACCCTCGACAAGAATCAAACGCCCCGTAATTCGCATGAATTTATAACTACTTATAGTGATATGTATGTGTGATAATGTTGTACTTTACGTCTGGGAGAATTATTATGTATTTGTAAGTCTGACAATACTGTAACAGTCGCTTTTGCATTCGTCGGTTGGTATGGATCAAGGGGGATAAAGAATGAGGTTTCAAAATGTGTGCTGTGGTCCATAATTAATAATGATAATCCCATAAAATACACGACATATACCAACGGTTCAGGAAGTAATCCAGGAGAGAGCTATCAAACACCATGAAGTCCTAGAAACCCACACAAACCCCTTATTGGAACAGTTACTGCAACCAAGGATCAATAAAAGACTCAAAAAATTGTGGCTTATAAACTTAGTGCGGGAGTAGTGTTCTCAAATTTCTTTTGACAAAAACAATTTATAAAACTTAGTATTAAGTTACATAGGTTGCATCGATGGATGTTAATCATATCATGCTATTTATCTGCTAGTACACCTAGCGGTCGTTATAACCCTTTAGCTAATAGAATACATATGTATATTGTTCTGATTGCTAAATAAATAGGTAGAAAAAAATAAAATTAAAAAAAAAGTATTTGCACTTATTCGCTGTGAGAAAAAATGCTTTTTATAGATTAATATTACAGCAGTACTCGCTTTCGAAACGTACTCAACACCAAATATTAAAAGGTACTTAGTTTAGAGAAATACTGCATATCTGCACCACTGACCTAAATAAAAATAGAGATCATTGTTCTGCACACCTGTGCGTATAGCGTATCCAACGTGCCTGATGTACTCGTCTCATAATCCATGATACAAAAAAGAATAGAATCTATCCACCTAAAGAGGAGAAATCTGTAGATTATTGAAGATTGAAGATACCTACGGTGGGCAGAGACTTGTGGGTTCGTTCATTCGTTGTACCCTGTCCTCTAACAGACAAAATGAATACTTTCGAAATTGCATTAGGGCTTTGAATTAATTTTATATTCAAAGATTAGGGATCTCAAATTTTTCCTACTTGTAGGCAACCCGTTATACGTATTTGCATTACAGCTGCGTTTACTAAATTTCCATTTAGCAATCTGTTCTTTACGTATCGTATATCTGTGGTTGTAGGTAGATGCGAACGATCCCAAAAAGCTTGTGGCGAAAGTTATGCTGCAGCCACATTTTTGCAAATTTATTTGTAAAAAGGCAGCTTTTAATCTCACTTTGGCTGTCTGGCTGGCTGGCAGTAAATGCAAGCCCGTAGAAGAACGTTTGTAAAAAGACGCGGAGTGTATGTACAATGTACTTATCGGGGCCGTGTAATTAACAACTTTAGGGACGGGACTACAAAATGTGGGTCATGCTACCCTAGAGTTTTTTCAGTTTTTTTCTATCTTCTTATACAGTTTTTCTCCGATTGTTTTCAAATAGGTGTCGTTGGAAAGATCTTGACAACGTGCACAACTTCTGCGTGGCGGAATTTTATGTTTTTTCTTAGGGGCGAAATGAACCACCTTTTACACCGCGCTTCGATGAGTAGTCGACTTTGGGAGCCCAAAAGTTTCTTAGAGCTCGAATCTGGGTCTCTCCTTCTCGAGTGGTCAACAAAAGCTCGAGCTATGAGAAGTACCGAAAAGTACTATCTGCCCCACAAAAATGCACTGCAGTCCCTTCGATCTCACACGATGACCTTGATAATTTTTTTACTTATAATTTTTATTTTTTGTGTTTACTAGTGGCTCTGTCCCGGTTTAGTGTCACAAAATTATGGTAGGTAAGCCTATCTATACCTATTCCCATTATTGACCAGTAATAATATGGGCCATTGATTAAAGTATGGGCCATATAGGATAACTGGGTCAGGTAACGGTATAGATCAGCCGCTACTGCGTTACTGTGGAAAAGATTCTAAATTAATACTCGCACGTAACATGAGGTTTACGTATTTACACATACTTGACGCTAAACGAAATAGAGGTATTTGAGTTTTATTAGAGACGGACAATGACATTTTCTACAACCAAAAACAACGATTAAATAAACTCAGCTGCAACTAAGATTGGTCTCACATAAATTATTACAAACCAGTAGTTATTTTTAGACAACCATATAATTACTACTTGGCGTAAAACTTAGTTTCAAACTAATACAAATTACTTTAGTTCATTAATTATTTGACGAGAGTTACTTTCCAAAGATAATTTTTCTGGAGGCCCCGAAGTTTTGGCCCGATTGGGTCGCTCCTTTGTTGGATCCCGCTTGTAAACCAATTATGGCTTCGCCCGCCCGCAGTTGTTCTTCTGAAAAATCTCGGCGATTTTCCTCCGATGGCCTTGGACCCAACCATGGGCCTCTCCATTCGGGATGACGGTACGCTGTCCTTCCAAGAGCGAAGATTGTTTGTGTTACCAAGACGATGTTTTTGAAATCCCACAAGTCTGTTGTTTGAAATAAATCAACGTCGGGAACGCCGTAGTGGACACACGCCTTTTGGAATCTGCAAAATTTGTCATTTTATGGTGAACAATTAAGTGTTGTGGAAAAAGTATGAATCATAGAATCGTATTGTAAAAATCTAGCAATAATAATAATCTTACTGATTCAGATTGTCCATCATTTTATAATCCCCTCCGGAAGTATTAACTTTTTGAATTATTCCAGGCGCCAATCGATTCATAAGCATACAAAGTAAAACCCCATCTCTCAGATTCTCTTCATACGAGTATCCTGGATGAAACCGTTGCCCCACCACTTTCTCAATCCAATCTTGAGCCTCTTTCTCTTGTTGTGGGTCACGTTTGCCGGCTACCTGCAAAAAATTATACCTGTACTTTTCCCGTTATCAAATGAATTACATCAAAACATAGACAATAATTCTAATCGCCGAAGGAGATATCCTAACATTCACCACACTACTTTGATGGGAAAGCAATAGGTAATACGGGTTCTCTTTCAAAAAATAAAATTCGTTATTGCGAACGTTGTTGTGTAATCTACGTCATGTTACGACTGAGAAAGTTTGCGACACGAGCGGGTTTGCGAGCGAATGGAGGAAGTGATCTCGAGTGTATAACTGTAGGTATAAGGGTTATTTGTGTTTTACATATGGCGTTACCGTTGTCATTTCCAATGTCTCCGATGATTGCATGGATGCGAAATTTGAATTTTTATACTGTTTATTTAGAAAGATAAGAAACATTTAGAAATAATATTGTGTTAAAATTATTCAATTAAATCGGTTGTTGCGATAAGAAATTTGTTAGCGTAATTAGTGCCGAGTTAAGCAGGTTTTGCCGATAAGACAACATAAATGTTTAATTTCGAAATCGCAAATTCAAGATATGGCAACAGGGAGGGTAGAATGATTTAAATAGTAGAGGAATACTCGAATCGTGGCTAGTTTGGTGGTGGACGTTAATCGTTGTTTTGTTTTTGTTTTGGACTTTGAAACTTAGCCGCCTATTGTGTTGGTGATGGGGAGTCGTTGCCGTATTTGAGCGTATTGTTGCAAGACTTGTCACTCTTGCCAGCTGTGAAGGTTTATAGAAGAAACTTAATCGTTGCTGTAAAAGACTTTTACTACGCCGTTTAAAGAGAGTGTTTAAGTCGAATTAAAGAAGTGAAGTTCACGAAGAATTTGTTTTCCTAGTACCTACATGTTAAAGGGAATTATCTAGGAGTTCATTTATCATCAAATAGCCAATATTACATCTGCAATTCAAACAAGGCCAGTGTTCGAGATTCAAGTGAATCCGTCCATCCGAGGATGGATTCAGAAGAAGCCGAGTTTTTCATTCAACAGGTGTTAAGAAGGGTGTTTGCGCAGGTGCATTTCAAGATTGATTTGTTTTGTGGCCTATGGGTAAGATATTTCGAGAAAACTTTCACTACAAATACTCGTAATACTATTGAATTTAGTGGTACATACCTACCTATGTTAAAGAGTGGACTTCATCAAACGGTTAAAATTCAAAATCAACTGGAATGGAAACTTACAAATTTTCACTAGAACTAGAAGTATGGCGAGGTATATTAAAGATTAGTGTTGTACGATGTTGAACGCGTGAAAAATACGCTTTAAACAATCTCGGAAGTGCTACATCTATACCATTAATTTATACAAAGTGATTTATGATTTTGAGTTATAGGCGAGAAAGTAAGAAGATAAAAAATTAAGATGTGGGAGACACTCTGCACTTACCATAAACCGATCTCTGAAGAAAAAAGTTCAGTCACTCGGTACATACCTATCTACTCTTAATTAAGTGGACTAATTATTTGTGTTTTCTTTTATAAATACTCGTACAATAATATGATGAACATACCTTAACCTTCAAACAACATTTTTGATTTTTGTCTTGTTACACTTATTCATAATATGGTAAATGAAATTAAAGTGTAGTTAGAAAATGATCAAAGTTACGAATCAGAAACTTATAATGACAACCATGAATGTATTAATATTAGTTTAGCCATGTTTGGTGTTTCAAGTCAAATGTTGGAAGTGTTATTAAGTAAGATTTAAAAATAAATGTGATTGATGCCAAGTTCAATTTCAATATCGTACTAAGTAGGTGATTTTCCAGGAGCGGTTGCCAAAATTTAATAACGCGCGCTTTTCTTTTTAGTTTATGAGCCATATGTCGATAAAAAATATCTAGGTACCTATTATTGGAATTGTGGTTAACGAACAAAGCTTAGGTACTAAAGGAATTTGCTGTTTCCCTTTTGCCACTGTTGGGCATTTTTAACATAACCTTTTCACGAAGTGATTTTATCTAATCATGAATGCCTATTCCTTAATCGCAGTTTGTGGCAGATAAATTGCATCTTTGAGTACCTACGTCTGCTTTCTACAACGACAATGTTTACTGCATTCGAAAATTTGATCAATGAAAACGTTTTGTTTATTTACTATACATCAACGTCAACCTGTAGAATGTTAAGCTTTCAAGGTAGACTGAAGCTATTTTTGAAACCCTATTCTTAGTGTCCACGTTACATATGTTTAAAGAATTATAGATGCGTTTTTCTTTTGTAATGGTGTTGTATTTCAAATCCATAAATTGGTTTATAACCTTGCATTGGCTATCTCAATCCGAACAAGATCCAGTTAAACAATAGAACTACAGTAACCGGTGAAGTCACAAAAAGTAAAACAAATACAACAATAATATATTGTGGACGATATTTAGGCTAAAATACTACCGAAGATAATAACGAGCAATCATATGCGAATGTTTTAATTTAATATAAATCTGGAAGATTACATTGCGCATACGCACGGAATTGGTTTATTTAATCGGAATTTACTATTTTAGTGTCTATTTTTCCACTTTAGGATTGTTTTTAATTGCTTAATTTCTTGTCTAATTTTATCATCCGTGCAAATCATAAGGTGAAAAATTGCATTATTAAGGAACATTTGGTCGAGTGCATTTAAGTGCTATCTGTTTGGATGCGATAAGGACGTTATCGTGAAAGTAAATTGATTTCGAGTGTGTTTAGCGCTGATAACAAAGCATACAAGTACACCATTTCTTTTGCGCGTAATGCTGTTATGGGACATTTCAAGCGGTCCGTATTGGGCGTTACATTTGGAATTGGCGGAAGTAGGATTATGATGATTAAGTGGAAGTGGTGTTCTGTTTAAATAGCAAAAATAAGAAAGAAACGGAGCTTGTTAGTCTAAGGCGGCTGTCTCACCGTATGTTGTTGAGAGCGTGTACGTTTTTATACGCTAAGTTTGTCAAGTAATTCGCTTTTCTGTTTGTTTGAATACGCAGTTTCGTTACAATTGGAATAATCTGTGCATATATGCAGTTAAGTTAAAGTTTGTATAAAATCTAATGCGGTTTTCTCCTACGTTGATTTTCAAAAAGCAGTTCTAGTGCTAAATGACACCGTTTTTGAACATTATGATGATTATTTTAGTCAACAAAAGTTTAGTGTTTCCCGTCTGAATAGCCATAAGAGAGAAATTGTGTCCATTCATTCAACAAATCAGTTCGAATGATTGATTTCAGTGTAATAGTAAAGGAATGAAATTTCCTGATGCTGTCAACGAGTGTTTTTTGTGTTAATGCTACATTCACCTGAATATCGCAGAATTGTTGTTTTGACCATATCAAATCGATTTTTAAGAGTTTTAATACTTTTTTTGTTTATTTCTGTCGACCGCTTGCGTGTAGGGTAAATGAACCTGGCTTGTGGTTGTGTATTTCAGATGTTTTTTTGTGCCCAAGAAAGTAGAAAGTATAGATGAGAGTCTGATGAACTCCACAACGGAGTGCCGAGAAAGGTAATAAAGATTATGTCGTCTGCCTGTTTAACCATTCGGTTGAAGTTTTGACAAAAATTTCTTCTTGAAACACAAGGAAATTGTTTCCACGACGATATTGTAATTATGTACACTCCATTAAAAATACTTCATGCAATGAACTGCTGGAATCGAGTTATAAGAAGCCTTTGGTCTACATGCGATTTACGCATGCGCGCCCGCGCATTGGCGATGCGAGCATACTAGTGATGGAATTAGTTTGCGTACGATAAATTACATAATTTTTTTTAATATCATATCACATGAAGGTGTTTAAAACGTTCAATCAAAATCAGGCTCGTCGTTTTTAAGAAATACCCAAAAAATTCTCCAAACTGGCTCTCGCAATGACTGGGTCTGGGTCTGACCAGGTCAGTGATACATTTGGAAGTCATCATAGACTCCCGCTCGACCTCGAAAGGGCACATTGAGCGAATAAGCAAAAAGGTCACTGCAGCAGGGTTTTGATTATACATGGGGCTCGACTGGTATATTGACTTTACAGTGTAGTGATAGGGCCAATTAATAGTACTGTACGGTGCACTTGTATGGTGGCCTGCTATGCGCAGGGTAACCTACAGGAAGCAGCTAGGAAAAGTCCAGAGACTCGCCTGTCTGGGAGTCATTGGAGCCCTGAAAACCACGTTAACTTTCACCATGGAGGCACTTCTGGGACTAGAACCTTTACACTCAGCTGTAGAGGCAGAGGCTCAGAAGGTTTTCATATAGTTAAACGATTGGGACAAGTGGACGGATCGAGCTGGCCTTGGACACGAGGCGGATCTGGGAGGATATTCTCAGGTCAGATCTCCTCCTCGTCAGAAGGGATGGTGATCCGGGCTGTCTTACTAAGACCAAACAGTTATAAAATCACTTTTCCAGACAGAGTGCAGTGGCTAAATTCAGATGGCCGATTCCTCAAATCTGAGGGACTCGTGTCGTTTACAGGCGGGTTGCTAACGGAAATGGAAACGAGTATGGGTATCGTATGTGGTGATCGACAGAGAGCTGACATCCGTTTCTCTCTTGGTAAGCATAGCACCGTGTTTCAGGCAGAGATGTCAGTCATTATGACCTGTGCACAGGAGAACCTCCGTAGAGGTGACCGTAAAAGCATATATACATATGCAGCGACAGTCAGGCGCCGCTAAGGGACCCAATCAGCAGACAGGTTCCGATCGGCTACGGCGCTTAATTGTAGGCGAACTCTAGATAGATTATGCGAGTCTAATAGGGTAAGCCATAGAGGAAATACAATTTACTCTATGGATAAGCTCGATCTGGGTGCCAGCGCACTACGGAATAGCAGTGGTGGGTTCTTCTAAGCGTCTAAATCTGAATAGAAGCCAGATTAGGAAGATCACCGGCGTCCTCACGAGGCACCTGCACAACATTGCACTTGAAAGAAAGCCCACGTGCAAGTTCTGTGGCGAGTCAGGTGAAACTACCGAGCTTGTGGTCTGTCACTGGGAACAAGATTGAGAGCATTATCTCAATGACCAAGACATGAACTTGATGGATTTTTGTTAACTATAAAATGTATTATGTAAGATTAAAATGAATTGTCGTTAAAAGTGATTGTAATACCATTGTATTTATAACCAAATACAATGGTAATACTGAAGATCCTTCGATACTTCGTTGTATCTATTAAAGGTCATACCATTTAAATCACCCCTGGTCGAGATAATACAGCGTTAATTACATGCACGTGGTCACTTGTCCTTGAGTAGGTACCTTATGTTAATTACCTACTTATATCAACGTCGAAGAATGTAAGTGTTGTTAGATGAAAGAGTAGGTACCCACAGTATACCTACTCTTTGATGAGATATAGGTACTTTAGATGAAAATGGCAACAAAATTGTGTTTATGTTGTGTTATATATAACTTATATTCAAGATTCAAGGTTATATTATATGTATAGCGCCTAAATGTTAACACATGATTTACCAACCACGGAAACAGGTGTAGCTATAATATCATTGTTTTTTACATAACAGCGATATGTAAAGAGATTATTACCAATATTTATTTTAAACCGAGTCTTTATAATAATTATAGTTCTGTACAAAATAATTCGTGGCTAAAAGGTTGATGACGACTACTAACAAGAGTGCACTGCATCTCTCGCCTCCGCATTGGGCGCCCTTATATTTTAAACTTCCCACAATAAGCATCAGTAACGTCGCGACGCTCGCATTAGACGCTCCAATATTACCATGGCGGTAAGTTAACATGCATCATTTTACAATTACCTATCATCCTTCTATTAATTATTATTACACTCAATAACCAGCAATTTGCTAACACATGTGCATATTGTTTATTAGATTTGCATGATTGCAAAACGGATGAGTGATTTTTATACTTTCTGTAAATAATTTAAAAACTTTTGAAATCGTAATAACAACGCCCCTTGCCCGTTGAAGGTATCCTCATTCGATATTTCCTAAGTAACACATGCGCCAGTGTGAAAGTAATATCAAATCAAGGGAATGTAATTTAGAAAAGTTACATTAAAAGTTAAAAATAGTCAATCACTCTACCGCCAAATTATTTTGGGAAGTGACAATTGTTTCCTCTTGACTATCGCGTTCCAAAATATTAAAGCCTCTAATACAGATAAATTTAGATTTTCATTCAGAATGGCTCACGTATTAAGCTCCTTTTTCGTTGTAGCCCCGTAATAAGGACCAAGAAGCAGAAGTACTTAACTGGATTTTCCAAGTAATAGGTCAACCAGTTCCAAAGGGCGAATATGAAGATATTTTACGTGATGGAGTTGTACTCTGCAATCTTATGAACGTTTTAACACCGGGAAGCGTTAAAAAGATCCAAAGCAAGGGTACCAACTTTCAACTTATGGAAAATATTGAGCGCTTCCAGAAAGCAGTGAAGGCGTACGGATTGCCACAAGAAGAAATATTTCAAACCGCAGACTTATTCGAAAGAAGAAACATATCCCAAGTTACACTAAGTCTTTACGCTTTGGCCCGATTGACACAAAAACACCCCGAGTACCAAGGACCGTCCCTTGGACCCAAGATGGCTGACAAGAACGAAAGAAGTTTCACCGAAGATCAATTAAGAGCATCTGATGGTCATCTCGGTCTTCAGATGGGTTACAATAAGGGCGCATCTCAATCTGGTCATGGCGGTTTCGGTAATACAAGACATATGTAACTTAATATTCATTTTTGAAAGTTGCATTTCGTATTTATTTAAAAGTTCAGTCCATAGATGACCTCTATGTGAAAGTTTAGAAACCGACATCTTACACTACATAATAAATATTTTTATACTTCATACGCCTTGTCTTTAAATAAAATTTAACAACTTTACGTTACGCTTTGGCGTGAAGTGCATGCGTTCCTATTTTTATACACACCTGCTCCTAATGCAATTCATTACGTACGTCATATCGACATTGATATATATGTACCTCATAAATGATCATCTACAGAAATAATTTTCGAAAACACGCTTTGGTTGCCAAGAAAGCAAAGTCGATAATTTTAAAGACAGTCGATTAAGTTATAATTTGTAGATTGAGGGCATTCACACAACTGATTTATATTTAAATTAGATTTCCCCACCGCCAATAAATATCGTAAAGTAAGAAGACAAGATATACATATAATCTTGTAAGAAGATTTTGTTGAGGCGTGGTCAGTGGATATTTTGAGTGCCCAAACATGTTCTGCGAATCTATTTGATTGTGAAGTTTCTGACAGTCTCCACACATAAAACAGAATCTTGACCATGTTCGAGTTTCCTTTTTCTGCAGAACAAAATTAAATTTTCTCATCTCCCACGATACACAATTCCTCCATGTTTTTACTACTATAATAGAAACGGGTGCTACCTTATCAAATTTCATATCGCATGGGTTTATTTTCGAAGCGTGCAGTAAACGGATTTTTGTTGTATGATACTCGCCCGAATCGCTAATTGCATGTTATTTGCACAGCTTTCAACATCAACCTACATCAACAAGTTTTAATATGTGGGTACACGATGTGATGATTTTGTAGTCATTATGGTTAGAAAAATTGGTGCGATTAATTTTTCTATTTTTCACCTTAGGAATACGCCGTTTAGGGTACGAATTTTGGGAAAAGCATACTCAAAAATGTGAACAAAGCCGTTAATTGTGCTATGGTTGCTGCCAAAACAGATTGGGTCAATTTGAGGACCAGTGACAACAAACAACTCATGAACCCCGACAGTTCAGGGCCTTTTTACCTGAGCTCCTCGGCACATCTGGGTCTTCTAAGCTTCTTAAACTGAACCGAGGCCAGATTATGGGCCTGGGCCCTCACACTGAACCTAGTTGCGAAAAATGGGGATAGATACAACGAGCATTTGATGGTGTACCGTGTACCTAAGCGTGCTGCTTAGTCAGCCTCCCCTTGTGATTAGAATAGCAGGTATAGTGCAGACTACTGTCGTCAAAAAACGTTTGTAGCCTTGAGTGAGTTTGGAGTCTACTAAAAAGTAACCGTCGTAGGATTTGAATGAAAGCCGGTTGTGTTCTACGGTCATTATTAATAAGAATTATCAACGGATATTTGGCCACCTGTCTGAAATTGGACAATGCAAAGCTCTCGATTTTTAGGCTTTCCGCGCTATAACGCATATAAGTATCCTCACTCTCAGAGCTACAAGTCTGAAGTATCCTACCTTCATATAATCGTAAAATTGAAATCTACCACTCGATTCAACTTGGGGATAAAATTGAAATTGTACCTAAGTATTGCAATGGAAGTGTAATTTTGAAATAAGAAATCTCATTTATTTGAGCACATTTTCTTATTCAAGAAATTCTAAAATACGCACTTTACTAGGAAACAGGTAATCTGTGAGGAATCTAAGATAGTTGGATGTTTGTTAAGGTTAACGTATATTATATGTGATAATTTTAAAATATCTCTTTAAGTTACGACACCGCGCAATTAACTATCGTTAACCTTTCATTTAAATATCTACACAAATAAAAACCGACTGCGCATGCGCAAAACAAATTTTTGTATTCGGCGTTAGATTTACTTTTACTGTTACATGAATAATTTTCTTAGGAGGCTTTGAAGTAAACGCGTTTTGTATAAAATTGTATAAGGAACATTTTTGACGAGAATAAAATTTTCTGTGCGACTAATAGTTTTTGAGAAGAACGAGGAAAATCACCGCAGTGCGCATTGGGGCTGCGTTTTTGGGGTGAAGCTCACACTATGAACTCTTTTGATTTTAAAAAGTTTCCTTTTAGTGCATATAATCTCAAAATATCAAAACATTATACTTTTTTTTCTAAGTATGCTAATATCAATGTAGTAGCTACTAATACTGCCTATCGGTCAAAAAATGCGCCGGTCTCGACCTGTCGTCTACAACGGGCAAGGAATGCGCCAGCAAATAATACAGAATTTTTGTCCCATTAAATTTTGAGTTATCGTGCGAACAAGCTGGTCAACAACAACTACGGACTTTTTCATGTGAAGAAGAAGAAGAAGAGTAAAAAAAAACCTATAGGTACCCCGTCCCATTTGAAGTAGAAAAATTGTCAAACTCACTTAGAGTGCAGGTACCGCGATCTCGTATCGCAAGGTGTTTATATGATCCACTGATAAAATAAGCGGGCCTCCTTTACAAAGTTTTTGACTTATAGCTAGAAATGGTATCGAAATGTAGAAAATCCCAAAAGAAACATTAAACGGGTAATCTAGGTAATACAAATTCCTAATTATACGAGTTTCAGCTCACAGCATCAACGGAAACGTGTATTTTTCTAAATTTGTTCGTGTGCACGACGCGACGGGGAGGTAGGATTTATTACCAGCTAGTAATCTTCTAAAACAGCGTGTAATACGCAATTGGCACCGAGTCAAGATCTGTAGTCACAACACATTTGTGTTACCTACTATAATGACGTAAATTATAACTACAAAAGTTTTCATTTAGAACCATTTGCAGTTTTATTATTTCATTTTACAAAGTTGTAGAGGTGGGTTCAAAAATTACGTTTTTGAAATGGTTAAGTTCATAAAAACGGATTCGGAAAGGTGCAAATTTATCTTATAAGATCAATACCTGAATGGTGGATTTTACCACAGATATACACCTATATCTTTGAATATAAAATATTTTATATTCAAAGATTATACCTACAGGCCAACCATTTTAATTTTGTTTAGAATTTGGGTATCTATGTTTGTGAATATTATAACGGAGCCGGGTCACTTCGCCGAACGCCCACAACGCCGACACGATTTTTTGATGGTCCATATCACCGATTAGGGACACTACGCCCACGCGGACGGACACTACAGCGACCGTGCCCACATCGTCGACAAAACGTGTACAAGCTCTAAAGTTACTTCGAGAGCAAATTCTTCCCTTACAAATTTCAACCTTATTGGTGTCCAAATTAAAATTAACGTAATCCTAGCAAACGTTTTGTTGTAATCCAAAACGTACAATATGTACAAATTGCATCTGCATTCATTGCTTCGGAGGCCCACAGATAACGGGCGATCAAAAATGAGTTGCTGTCGAGTCGCCTTTGGAAGTTCAAGTTAAGTATGATTTCCCATGTAAACAAAAATTCCAAAGGTGACTCGACATCAGGAACTCATTTTTGATCGCATTGTACTTCTAATCATCAGCAAATGAATCCTTTATAGTTTTGTATGGTTGTCCGCTGTTTTGCCCGCCCGTTCGTCTGTGTTTGCCATAACCTTAATAGATCCCCAGATACTTTTTATACATTTTAATTTTTGTCCGTCCGTATGCGCTATAACTATTTTTAAAAGTGGCCGATCGCGTTGAAATTTGGTGTACGGGCACTTTAGACATTAACGAAAGACGACTAAAGCCGCCTCATGCACAAAACCTTGTGAATCTATTTTATAAACGCGTGCACATAATAGGCCATAGACAATGCGTAACTTTTAACTCCTCATACAATAACTATGTTGTATGATATGTCTGACAGTTATGCAACCCACCTTACACACTAACGCCAGCAGTGTAAACAAAAGAAACAGTAGTTATTCACGATCATCGAGATTGTTTATAATTTTGTATTGCTGCTTCTTTGTCCGTCTATTCGCGTGCACGATAACTTTGTGTAGAAACGTCCGATCGCTTTTAAAATTAATACATATTCAGAATATAAGAAAGGTCGCCATTGTTTTTCGACATTTTTATTCTGCATTTACACGAACTATTTACGGTAAGCAAATAGGAAACTCTTTTCTTAAAAATGAAAGCAAAGAAATGCACGCAAAGGATGCAAACGTTACTAATTAATTTTTGAAAATAATCGTAAAGATATAAAATATAATTTCGTACCTATCTACCCACCCTACATCTGCAGCTGCTATAAAAACATCTCCGCAAATTCTATTTATAAAAAGCGTAAGGTTTGCCGTGACTTTAACAATACAGTCACATGCCACCTATGCCTCTGAGGACGACCCAACATACAATTAAGCCATAAAGGAATTACATTTACACATTTTTAAGAAGTAATTTAAGATTTAAGTACTATCATAGTATAATACAGTACTATAAATTACAGTAGGGACAACGAGGTACTATTGTAATTAGCCCAGTCAGAATAGGAAAAATAAAGGAACTAATTCATGTATTACCAGTTCCTTCGGAATTGTGTAAGGGACGTTTCCCTAATCAACAGAAAGTAAAGTCCCCTCGACTACCGACTGTGCTAAAGGGGGGAGAGGAGCGAGAGTGGCTCTGAAGGTCCCATTTTATAGTTTTTTGCTTACACCGTCGAAAAGGTACGCTATAGCAAAAAATTTTGTACATAAAAATGAAAGCTTATTAAATTTGCTATAACTTTAAGTGGATACATAATTATGAAAAAACGAATCATTTTTATGTTATTGACTATCCAAAGTTGAATATTTTCATATGTGGATTATACATATCAATGTAGTATATTATGACCTATACCTACATCATGATTTCCTTTGGTTTTTTTCCCTCCAGGAAACCTTATCGTAACTGCATAAAGGAGAGGTAAAGTATATAATTCGAAAGTGGATCGTGCTATATACAATGTGTAACATCAGATATTAACAGTATCTAAGACTATTTTTCGCTGTCCGAAAAAGTGAATGTGTCGATGTTATCTTCTTCATCGCCGTCCTCGACGACCGGTGGGTCATTAAAGTACGCACTTTCACATCCACAAGCTGAATTGCAGTTGATGCCCGTCTTACGATACCCACACCTCGGGCCGCATCTAGTTCTAGTTGTTCAGCTGCAGAAGGTGGAACTTAGGACATTGGCAGGTGCTGGCGGGTCGCTAGTCTTGATA